CTACAAACTAATTCTCATAAAAAATATTGGAATGTAGTTAAGAAAATCTTGTGAATTAGTTTAATTTTGCAGTAATAAACTGTTTCTTCATTTTTCGGTATACCAAAGAAAACAAAATGGCTGTGTTGACTATTAACATTATGAAATTTTATTTTACAGTACAGCTATTGTTATTTACTTTATTACAGTATTACATTAGTTGTTTCACATTAGTTTTTACCGTAAAATGAAATACAGCAACTACTGTCTCTAGTTTCACATTCGTTTTACCGTAAAAACAAATACAGTAACTTACTGTATTTGTTTTTACAGTAATTTTACTGTAAAAGAAAATACAGTAACTACTTTATGTATTTACAGTAAAACTACTGTAAAAATACAGTAAGTTACTGGATAAAAATTGCTAGTAAATTACTGTAAATTGAACAATAAATTATTTACAGTGCAGTTACTAGTGACCTCTGCTTTTCTACTTGGACCACTTTTCCAGCCTCTGCTGTTGAAAACCATCACACACAGCATGATGCTGCCACCACCATGCTTCACTGTGGGGATGGTGTTGGATTATCCTTAGACACAGTCTCCTTCAGTGTCTACATTGGACGGCAGTCCCTTTCCAGCCATCATTAAACTGTTTTTGTTTGACATGATCCTGAAAAAAAAAATATAAATCTGATTGAAAGGTCAACYCAACACAAAAAACGTAAAGTATTTGTTTTCTTACTAAAAATGACTTCAACTTGTAATAAAACGTGCTTAATATTTAATGCTTTCTCTTGCCTTTGGTCAGTAAAATCAGAATGTGAAAATCAATCACAACTAATTCTTATAAAATCAGTGCAGAGCTATTTTCATTGATAACTTTACTTGTCTTTAAACAGTAATTTATTGCACAAAATAATCAATGTTATTCACAACTGTCAGTTTCCAACGTGGCATTTCTTTCCCCTCACTTCTGTGGTTTGTGTGTTTTTGTTTTTCAGCAGAGAACCCAGGATCAACAGGTGGACCTCAAATGGTAGGTGCAGGATGAACCTTTTCATCTTCATTGTAAACACATTCTGCACATTTCTGCCTCTCCTCATTGTAAAATGATTTGTCTCATGACGTCGTTCTGCAGCATAACGGCCGCAACAGCAGTGGCGGAAACGCCCGAGGAGGGGTGATGATCCGCAAGAGACGTCCRAACTGGATTGATGCCCCAGATGACAGCTTCTTCCTCGTCACCCGGGAGACCAGGTAAGCAAAGGTGACCCTTTATTGAACTCTAATTAACTCATTTTGTGTGCGTGTGTGTGAGAGAGTGTGTGTGTGTGTGAGGGAAAAGCACTACTGTCAGGTGATAAGCTGTGACATAAAACGAGGAGTTATTTTTACTTGTGTTGACTTTAGACAGCTGCAGAGAGCAAAACAGAGACACTGTTGGATCAAGATGTGAGTTTTGAATCAGAAATAATACAAAACACTCTTAAGCTTTCAAGGAAAACTCTATATTTAGGTTCTTCATTAGTAAATACATATATTTTCTTTTAATTAAACACGTTCAGGAATTTTTAAAAACAGAATAAAGGTGCTGAGAGTGAGCAAATATTTTAACTGTTAAAACAATAACCGGACACGAGAGGAAAATAGGGAAAATTCTTGAGAAATCYTTTTCATTTCTGTGGATTTCTTGGWTATTTTCCTCATATCTGAGAAATATGACTCTTATCCCTCTAATGCACCACTTTGAAATGGCTTCATTTTGCCACTGATCAGCCATTGTGACTCTCAGATGGAGAGCAGATGTGTCAGATCTATCAGTGTGTTGGGATTATTGTTTCACAACATCAGTACTGTAAAACATCACAGATTTATTTTTTAAGTTTTGCTTTTTACGTGGCACTTACATGTTATAGGTCATCACACAAAATTTAAATTTGAGAAAGGTGACCCGAGTGAATACAAAATTCAGTTTTTAAGTTATAATTTAATCAATTAAAGGTGACCGTTAAATACTTTTTGTTRTGAACTTGCAGGCAGGAGTGCAGAAGAGTTGAATTTAGTCTCTCCAGGTGCTGCGTAGATATCTTTATATTCTGATTGGGTCATATTTTTCAACCTGTTTAGTTTTCTCTGTTTTCTGTAACATTTTCTGAACTATTACATCACAGTTTTAGCGACAGAACTACAAAATAAGATCTGGACTTACCTGCTTTAATTCGGTGGTCTTCATTCTCCTCTGGCTCTGGGTCTGGCTCCAACATGTAAGGCTGGATAGACAAGTTTTCTKTTGACATCTTTTAATTCAACTGTAAAAAAATAAAAATGATCTGTGCTGCTATATAGTCATAAACCCCTCTATCAAACTGGAAAGGGTCGCTCTGGAAGCTGGGTGGGGCAGATTTAAAGAGACAACCTCAAAACGAGTTGATCTGAGACACACCTCAGAAAATGGATGATATTTATATGTATAGACTAACGCCATATATTAATTAGGAATATATGGCGTGAGTTCCTGAGCTTACAATATTAGCTCGGGCAAGAAAACAATGCTATATTGCCATTTATTTGTATATTAATTAGCTCGGCGCTAACGTGAAAGCTAACAGGCTAAACTGAGGTTCTCCAGTCCATGGCAGCTCTGTTGTCCTCCATCATCAGTTTCAGTTACAGGCTGAGTCGTTTCTACCTTCTCGTCTCTGTCAACACGCTCTGGTTTCATTTTAAAGGGGCTGATCATCAGATACTGTCCAAGATTAACCTTCAGGGTGGATAAGAGCTTGCACCAGAAAACCTAGTGAACGTCATCGTTTACCCGGTAGGCTCGATGGTGTTAATAAAATGATTTTTTTTTAATGTGTAGAAATTAAAGACAGACTACAGTATTTTTACAGTAGAAATAAATTTTTATCAAATATTGTCTATATTGTCCAAAGTGTGTGAGGTTACAGGCAAGATCTACTCAGGGAACAGGCAAAAATTCCAGAGCTGAACAAAAAAAATGTATTTATTTACAAAAGAAGGCTGACGAGGCAGCTTAAGAACAATATGGGGAACACGGGAGACACCACACCCACTGGGGTGGACAGCTCAATGATCTGACAAAGCACTGACGACAGGACACAGAATATATAGGCAAAACTAATGAGACAACGAGAAAAACCTGGAGGAGACACAAGAGGAAACAGGTGAGGGAGGGCGGGGCTGGAGGAATGATTCACATGGAAACACAGAAACCCTAGCAAAACCAGGGAAAATCGACACAGACCATGACAACRTGAAAACGTGATTACTTCCCTTGTAAAAATCATGAAATTACTGTGATTTCCTTTGGAAAGCTGAGTTCAGTTTCAGGCCTGATCACAGCCAGACCCGTAGAATGAAGAAATCACTTAAATTGAGCCATTATCCACAAATGGAGAAAACACTGAACAGTGGTGAATCCAAAATTACTCCAAAAGCACATCAACGATTCATCCAGGAAATCCTAAAAACAACAGCTAAATCATCACAGGCCTCACTCAGTTACAGTTAGTTTATGATTCAACAATAAGACAGAAACAAAGGACAAACCAAGAACAACACCAAGACCTTGATGATTCCCAAAACGATTCTATGGACTCATGAGACAAAAGTGGAACTTTTTTTGGAAGATGTGATTGTGGTTACATCTGGCATAAAACAAACACTGAGTTTCAAAAAAGGAACATTCCCACAGTAAAACACGGTGGTGGTAGTGTGATGGTCTGGGGCTGCACTGCTGCTTCATGACCTGGACGACCTGCAGTGATTGATGGTACGGTGAGTTCTGCTC